GATTTTCTGTTGAAATACAATATCCATATTTTATGCTTACATATAAATATTCTGAAAATTTAATCAGAAAAAACTATTTTCTGAGATACATTCTGACATGGGTTATGGATTGCTTGTTTGTTTGTTTGTTTTTTTATTAGTAGGGGAGTGCATTTATCTCTTTGTATAATATTTTGGCATAGCTTCCCCCTAAAACTGATGAAACTACATGTCTTTAATTCTAAGTGTTTTCATAACTTGACATCTCTGAAATAAAAATATGTTTCACAATCAAAAATATGTTTCACACTTTATTATTGTAACTAGTAGACTTTTTTTCTCAGTAAAGCAAAATACATTGTGCTACAGGCGACAAAATCACTGTTCCAATAAAATAAGGTAGTATAACTATTCAAACTAAAGCATGAAATATTACTTGGAGGTATCTCATCTTCCTTAGATTTAGCTACATAAACTGAATTTTGAAACTCAAATGATTTATTTATAAAATAATTATTTTTGTTATTTAAGGTTTTTCTTCATATATATGTATATATATATATATATATATATATATCTGGAACTCTTGTCTGTTGGCTCACTATTTTTTAAAGCAATAGGTGACATTTTCCCCAATAAACTTCTTATTGGCTTGGTTTTTAAAGGAATCCAGTATCTAGGAAAAGCAGAATTGTCTGTTAAAGGAGATTTAAATAGTGAACCCATTACGAATACATCAAACTTAATTTTCTGTTCTGAGCAATGTGTATTATTATTCCATATTGTTTTTCTCTTTCTATATGTGTCATAAGTGAGACTATTTCATGCATACATGCACATAAAATAAATGTATTATAAATTTAAAAATGAAAGGCTCCTTGTGGAAAAAAAAATATGTGCTTTCTATCATATTAGTCTTGGGACTGGATTCCCCATTCTTGCCAAATGCTGTAAAGCCTATCCTGAGAAGTTCTTTGAACCATGGATGTGAATCAGCTCTTAGTTAAGGTATATTTCCTCAAATTGATTACAATGATTGGTCTGACCTAAAATGGCCCAACTATAGTGGAGTTCAGGACCTTTAACTTATTAATCATTGATAAATAACTGGCGAAAAAGAGAATTACTTCCCACCGGAAATCAGTATTAAAGGGAAGAGTCCAGAACATCTAGCACACTTCCCGTGACCAGGAAAGAAGAGCTTATTACTTTGGTGGAAAATATATACCTTCAAGAAAATATTTCCTCAATGGACATTTCAATTTTGCAAAGTGAGAGAAAAAAAAATCTGTGTTGAGACTGAAAAATATACAAAACACTCATCTGTGCTGCAAAATAATAGACATGGTTTCTTGACTGTAGACAATGGCACCTATGTTTCTTTTTAGAAGTTCTTGTACTGTGAATATTGTGATATCTTTGAAAGATATAGCCTTTAATTCTTTTTTTTTTTTTTTTTAAGTTTATTTTGAGAGAGACAGTGCAGTCAGGGGAGGGGCAGAGAGGGAGGGAGAGAGAGAATCCCAAGCAGGTTCTGTGCTTATAGCATAGAGCCCAATGTGGGGCTCCATCTCACAAACTGCAAGATCATCCTTTGAGCCAAAATCAAAAGTTGAATGCCTAACTGATTGGGCCACCCAGGTGCCCAGCTTTTTATTTTTGATGTATGTGTGTATTGATGCCAATCTTCACCAATAACAGATGGACCATAAATTACACAACCCGTCCTTAATTGTAACTCTGAAGACTCAGTGCATATCCTTTCATTTTCTTGATTAATACTGATGTGGTTTGAAGTGCTAAGGTTTGGCCAAGAGAGAATTTTTGAGACATTTTCAGTACAAAATGTGTTCTTATTATAACACTGGGGCAGGACCCAAGGACTGGGTGGAGGAGAGGGGGACAGGAAGCGCTGCATTGGGGATGTGAAGAATGACTGATTATATGTTTTGGAATTGGGGGAGATCAAGACAAAAGAACTTTCCAAAAGGACTTTCATATTTTAAAGAAGACACAGGATTCTGGAGGCACTAGCGGTTGTCAAGCTAGGGTTGTTTTTCCTTTTAGCAAAGCATTAACATTAAGACATTCAAGAGTTCCTAGAGGAGTGTCATATTCTGCCTGTCTCAAGTATTTGTCAACAGGCTGCAGATTATAAAGAAATTTAATTCTATCCACATTTCCTTTTCCTGTGTTCCCCACATCACTACTATGATGTGGTGGAGCTTCTTGGCCTTATACAATAAAGGCTCACACAGAAACACACACAATTATAGATTTATATGATAAGTTGTTAGTATACATTTTTCTTAATTTCATAATCTTTGTGCAAAGGACTAACTACTATAAATTACTATAATTTTGTGTAATTATTTATATTTGTATTTGTAAAATTGAACAAAAATCATCACTAATCTTCAAAATTTTAGCCTACAAATCATTAAATCAAATGGAAATATTAAATTTTACTAGTAGAATGACTTAGATATTTAGCCTTTGTTTATTTCTGAAATTATGTCTATCTATCTACCTAATATACATTATTATGATATATAATATAATTTATATTGAATATATCTATGTACATAATGTTTATATGTATATAACTTAACACTAAATTTAAAAAGAGATTTTTTTTATATGTATTTATTTCTTTTGAGAGAAAGAGAATGAACAGGGGAGGGGCAGAGAGAGAGGGAGAGAGAATCCAACCCACAAACCATGAGATCATGACCTGAGCAGAAATCAAGAGTCAGATGCTCAACCAACTGAGCCACCCAGGCCCCCCAAAAAGAGATATTTTTTAAAGCTACAATACAATAAAATAATACCTATTTTCCAATGCTTTTTTGATAGAAAGGTTTTAGGTTTTAATACATACACTGTGATAAACATTACACTAAAACTTTTCCCCAGACTCTTAACTATAGAGAACAAACTGGGGGTTGCTGGAGGGGAGGTGGGTTAAGTGGGTGATAGGTATTAAGGAGGGCACTTATGATGAGCACTGGGTGTTGTATGTAAGTGATAAATCACTAAATTCTATTCCTGAAACTAATCATTACACTGTATGTTAACCAACTAGAATTTAAAATTTTTTTTCAACGTTTTTATTTATTTTTGTGACAGAGAGAGACAGAGCATGAATGGGGGAGGGGCAGAGAGAGAGGGAGACACAGAATCGGAAACAGGCTCCAGGCTCTGAGCCATCAGCCCAGAGCCCGACGCGGGGCTCGAACTCACGGACCGCGAGATCGTGACCTGGCTGAAGTCGGACGCTCAACCGACTGCGCCACCCAGGCGCCCCGAACTAGAATTTAAATAAAAACTTTAAAAATAAAAAAATATATAATAAAACATTTCCTCAGATCTGTTGATATGTTTATTTAAAAATGTCTAGAATATATTCTTTATCCTTAGGCAATACATTCCTTAAGGGCACATCTGTCACAATTTAAATATCATTAGAATAATTTACATTAAATGGAGACACAGGCAGAAAAGAAATTAATGAATATAGTTCACTCATAGAACTAATATTAAGTAGAAATCACAGAAAATATTGAAATACAAATTGTTATATTCATTCCAGTGTGGCATGACTTCTAATTTTCAATATGAGTTTATCATTATCTAACATTCAAAGGCATTTATTCAGTTTATATATTCTGAGTTCCAACTATGTGCCAGGCTCCATTCTCGGCACTGGTAATACTTCACTGAATAAAATAGATGCATTTCCTGTCTAAAATTTTAATTCTAGCAAAAGAAAATCAAGTAAGTATATAATGTAATATTTGTTTGTGACAAGCAACTGTTGGAAGAAACAAAGCAGAACTCTAACATTGCACTATGTTAGTGAAGGTGGTTATTCCCTACTCCCTTGACTCCCCACGATCACGACTTTACTTCTTTATTCTTAAATTCTCTTACTTTGTCCCTGTTTTGTCACTTCCTCTCTGAGGGTCTTACATTCAATTTTCCCAAGAGACTAAGAGTTGATTGGGTCAGTAAGTTACTATGGAATATGGAATATCATTTATCTCTCTCATGTTGAACCTGTAGTTAGTTGGCTCTCTTTGCCTGGGATGTTGATTCCTTGTCTAACTCATTGTCCCCATGATAAGAGTGTCATATCAGACTAAACATATCAGACCTAGAAATAACTGATAATATAATTTGAAAAGATCTATGAAAAGAGAAACTACAGGATCCACATAAGAGAGACATTTTTCCCAGACTAACAGAATAGTGAGCTCCACAGAAAATAACCAAGTGGTGTCTTGAATTCCCTTGAATATAAATCACTCTTTCATACTTAAAAGATCTGTAGAGATTATTTGCTTTGTTGGGAATGCCTTTCTTTTCTTCTCTAATCATTGCTTGGGATTCCACAGTGGATTCTTGTTATGCATAGTAGTTGTATTCTATGATGTCTTTGCAAACACTGAATTAGTGAATACTGAGCAGTTGTTCTCAGAGGAAATGCAGGGTTAGTTTCCAGTGAGCCTTGGCTCATAACATTTTCATTAACTAATCAATACATAGCCCTGTTTTATATGTGTTTCTGTTTAAAGATACCTTATTTAATATACTTACACAGGACTATAAATTATCCCTGGATGAAGCTTATCAATATACATGTTTTCACTAGAAGTACATCAAAGCCTTCTTGCACTTAGGTACATTAGAAGATGCTTCACTATTATGCTTAGGGGACATTTTAAAAAGTCAAATCACCAAAAAAATGTAGAAATTGTGGCTCTAAATAGACCTTGAAAAGGAAATGTTTTCAGTATAAGAGTTACAACAAGAAGGTAGAATATTACTTAGTTTGACCTTGGCTGGAAACATGGGTGCTAATCATCTTAATTTTTTGTCACTCCGCACATGTTCTTAAGTGACCACAAAATCATCATATTGATTTTGGGATTACAGATAAATTTTAGTGAGCAGGAAAATTTGCAAATATGGACTTAGCAAATAATGAGGATCAACTTCTTTTCATGGCTTCTACTCACTCTTCTCTGATTCTTTGCTTCTTTCTCTTCTTCTAGCATCTCGTAAAATTAGCCAGTTTTTATTACATGTGTCATAGTACTTCACTGACACCTGTTAGTATAACACTTAATTTACTGTAAGATTGATCTTCCAAGTCATCAGTTTGAAATCATAGATCATGGATAGATCATTTTGATATTCCCACTGTATTCACATAGTAGGTATTCATTTAAGATCTGTGAAAAAAGGGAGGGAAGAGAGAGACAGGGAGGAAGCTAGGATGGAAAATGAGCAGTTCATTCTTAATAAGCTGTTAACACACAACTCTGTCAATAAAACTTTTTATTTTACTGCTGTATCACAATGTGCCCTCCAAGAATTCATTTCAATTATTTATTTCATTTTTCCATCTTTGAAATAAGAAAAATAATTCTTTTCACTTATTTCTGAAATGTCTGAAGACATTCAAGAGGAAAATCAAATGATTTTGTGCTCATTGGAAGGTCTTATCTAAATTTGAGGCCAGTGATATTGTTAATGTTATTAATTATTTTTGCCAAAGGAACTTAAGAGACTATATAAGTAAAATCTTCTGAAGTTGTTCATTTTGTTTGAAGTGGAATAAAATGTAATGAAAAATTTTCGTTTGTAAGCAGAAGGTCTTACAAAATGAGTCTTCTTGGATTGAGAAGGAAAAGAAAATACAACAAGCTTTGATAGAGAGCTTTGATACAGTATAGAGGCAAGCTGTTCGGTTCGGTTTAGTTTGGTTCTCTGGATTGAATTGGACTGTGCCCTTTCGGGGCTCCTTGCTTGAGAAACATAACTTTGTACAAGTTTTAATATGCATGTACAGAGTACCAAACTACTTTTCTCTCTTCATCCTTGTTTCAGTAGGCTAGAACAAGATTAGTAAAAGCCCCTGCTGTTCAACTGTATCCTATTAAGATCACAAGAGGAGGAAATGAACCAAAAAGTGGTGACAAAAAGGTGATAGTCTATGGATTAATGGGTAAAAAAAGGTTTATCTCCATTCATTTAGGACTCACTTCTTATACTATTCTTAGATATTTCTTTAAATTTTATGTAAGGGATAAATGTCATGATTATAAAAAGGCACAATCAAGTTTATTTTCCTTAATAAAAGAGGCGATTATTTTTATTTGTGTATAAATATTTTTTAAAAAGACTAAAAAAGTTGTCACATTATGTGTTATACACATCATAACTTTAAGGTTTACATATTTTATGTAAAATAAATGAGACATTAAATGTTTGAAATTACTTCAACAATAGGACTGATATGCACTTTAGAATAAACACTATAATCATGATTAAGAATAGAAAAAATTATCTTCCACTTTTTCAAGAACACAAAACAATTAAGTGTGTTACTTCTTTCAAAATAAGTTTTTAAAATAAAGCAATCCTCCAGTAAACACAAAGGAATAAAAGTTTAGTTGTCACACCATTCTAGATACTTATAGATATTAGGACTATGCTATATTTAACTCAGTTTATTTTAAAATCCTGGTTACCTAATAATTATAAGATGTGTGACTACTTTATCTCAAATTACTTGTGTATATGTTATTTACTTATATGGGGTTTTGTAGAATTAATAATGGTTATGCCCAAATATGCAGAAAGATCATGACTAAACATCAACAAAGATAATCGTAATTTCCACCCTGACTATATTGCCTTTACTATTTGAATAACACACATGACTAACCTTGTTTCAAAACTTTTCCCTCAAATTCAGTGTTCCTATTATGTATTGATAGATTACCAAAAAAAAAAAAAAAGTTCCAAATGTAATATCTGACATTTATTTTGCTTAAGAACCTGCAATTTGAATGGGATTCCCTAGGAACAGCTCATTTTTGTTCCACTTGTCATCAGAGGCTCAGAGACTGAGGGCTGGAATCATCAGTGTCTTACTCACATGCCTGAAAACTATTTATCAGCCGAGGTTACCGAATAGCCCACATGTCTTTCTATGTAGTATGGTGGCTGAGACTCAAGGGTGAGCCCCACAAGAAAAGGTAACCATGTGGAAGCTCTATTGTCTCTTGTGAGCTATCCTCAGAAGTCATAAAGTGTCACTTCTGTATTCTATCTACTTAGAAGCGAGTTACTAAGACTATCTCAGATTCAAGGGGAGAGGAATTAGGCTTTATGTTACAAAAGCATGTTAGAGGGCATACTTATAAGTGTGGCTAAGCTTAGAAAATATTATTTGCCACAATCTCTTTAGTTTAAATAAGTACTGATCTATCCTAATTCTGCCTCTCCATCTTATGTTGTTATAGCTGTCGTTTGACTTATTTCTGATCATTCAGTAGGTAGAAAAAACTTATCTTTTTCCAATTACTTGGGGTGAAAATAAAGCATTTCCCTGGGAAATTGATGATAAAACCATTTGTTGTTTATCAGCTAATAAAGCTACACCTTAGAAGTGGTCATACTCAGTTGGAGAAAAGCATTATACATTATTAGAAATAAAAATATTTCTTTTATCCATTTCTGATGTCTGAATTACATATTATTTATTTCAAAAAAAAGAAAAGACATCAAAATTAAATTCAATAATAGCAAAATAACATTCCCAGGATTGGTAAGTAAGTAAATCATTGTTCTCTGTAAATGACTCTTCAGTTTGCACCTTAAAAAAAGGTTTACGTAAGTGCCTTTTGAAGCTGATGATGAAATTACTTTGATGCTAAAATTATTTTCTAAGAAATATTTCAAACTCACAATCTCTGTTGTTTCCTGTCACCTGTAGCTGTGGCAAAAGACTGCTTCCATATAAATGAATGAGAGAAGGCATCATAAAAGATTTATTTCTGCTGCCCCATTTTTCTTATTTATTTCTAACATTCTGCCCATTTACCATGAGCTTCCTCACATTTCAGAAACAGCTAGTCGTCTTTGAGAACAAATTGTGCTATTTACTTCTGTCCTCAGAGAAAACGAATGGTTTAGTGGGTGAGATGTCCAGAACAATAAGGAAAACTTGTGCTATGTATTCCCAACAGAAGAAATAGATCTTCTGTAAATAACTCCTAGCACAATCATGGCAGGTCTCAGCACTGCACAGAGTTATACATATTTTTTTCTTTACATAACTTTAAAACCTTTCAAAAGAAAAATCAGCAGAAGGCTTTATGCAGATGCATAGACTTACCCCAAAGTTATAGAAACAATATTTGAAATAAGAAAAGTGTTTTAGTTATATTCCTATATAATTTAGTACACACACACACACACACACACACATTGATTTTCAACTTCATGGACAGAAAATACTTTAGATGAAATGAATACAACCAAATAATATTAGGAAAAGAAAAATAATGTTATTTTGTATAAATCAAAGGGAACTAATGATGAAGTTTAATAAATCACTATATTTTTGTTTTGTTTATTTGTTTTTTATTTTAAGTGGCTTCACACCCAGTTGGAGCCCAATGTGGGACTTGTGTTCATGACTGTGAGATCAAGACCTGAACTGAGATCAAGCCAGTCACTGAACCAACTGAGTCATCCAGCCCCCCCAATAAATTATTATATTATTTTAGTCAGAAAGAAGAGCTAGATTTCTAACATTTACTAAATCCATACCACATGCCAGACTTATTTCATAAGAGATTTACATATTTATAAAAACTTAATTGAAGGGGTGCCTGGGTGGCTCAGTTGGTTAGGCATCGGACTCTTGATTTCAGCTCAGGTCATGATCTCACGGTTTCTGGGTTCAAGCCCTGCAATGGGCTCCATGCTGACAGTGTGGGGCCTGCTTGAGATTGTCTATCTCTCTCTCTGCCCCTCCCATGCTTGCTCTCTCTCTTTTTCTCAAAATAAATAAAATTTTAAAAAGCCTTAACTGTTACAGTATTTTATATGATAAACACTTTTATTCTCATTACACATATGAGAAAATTGAGATTGATAGAAGTTAGACAGCTTTTCCCAATCCCCTAAAAAAGAAATAGGAAATTATTATTCCCAGAATAATGGGAATCTCAAGACCACTCTCATATCTGACACCTATTGCAAGCTTCAAGGTCCTCAAACCCACTTTTACAGTCAATAATTTGCTAGAAAAACTTGCAGAACTAAGGAAAAATATTTTACTCATAGTTAAGGCTTATTGTAGTGAAAAGATACAGATTAAAATCAGTATAGGAAAGAGTCTGTAGGGCAGGGTCCAGGAGACATCAAAACATAGAGCTTCCAGCTGACCTGTCCCAGTGAAGGAGTGCAGACAGCACTGATTTCTCCTAGCCATGATGTGTGGCAGTATGCATGGAGTATTGTTAACCAAAAAAAATCATCTGGTCTTTAGTGAGAACTTTTATTGGGGTTTAATCATATAGATGTGATTGATCACCAACATGGCTGATCTTGGTCTCCAACCATGGCATACATTGAGTTGATACTGAGTGGTCCAAGGTCCCCCACTGCATTGTTAGCATAGATTACTAGACATGGCCAAAGACCACCACGTGAACAAAAACATTATTATCAGGGGCGCCTGGGTGGCTCAGTCGGTTAAGCGTCTGACTTCAGCTCAGGTCACAATCTCACGGTCCGTGAGTTCGAGCCCCGCGTCGTGCTCTGGGCTGATAGCTCAGAGCCTGGAGCCTGCTCCGATTCTGTGTCTCCCTCTCTCTCTGCCCCTCCCCCGTTCATGCTCTGTCTCTCTCTGTCTCAAAAATAAATAAACGTTAAAAAAAATAAAAATAAAAAAAACATTATTATCAGACAGGATAATATTATTATCAGACAGGGTTTTGAAATTAGCTTCTAGAAGCTGAGCACAAAGCCTAAAACTCTCCTTGGTCAAAGTTATTCATTTGATACAGTTATCCTGACACAATTAAGTAATAAGTAGAAGCATAACCAGTGATACATATCTTACTGATTAAGCAAAAACAACAAAGCTTTAGAAAATTTCCAAATGGAATAGTTTGGTTGCATTTTCATACCTCTTCTCAATTTACCAAAGATTATTTTTTAAACTCAATTTTGACCTAAATTGTGTAGTAGGGGAAGGTATTTGTATAAATCCTACTATGAAACTATCTGGCAGACTAATACGATTTCTAACTTTACCAGAACTTTATTTTAAAGTTGAGTTTATATATTTTAGTTGAATTTATTATTGTGGGAGAGCAAATTCTAGTAGAACTAATAAATACAAAAAGTTCTCTGTGACA